AATAGTTAATGTATTTTTGTGATTAAGTCTGAAATATTAGGGATTATAGACAGACTACCAGAAAGTCAAAAATTAGACGTGAATAAAATGTTTGAAAGCCAACAAAAATTGGTCAACCAAAAAATCATTCTGATAGTACAAAAATCGATCAACAAAAAAATGTTTCTAGTATGCGATGTATAGAGGTTAATAAAAGATCATGTTATTTGTTTTTTAACTTTATCTAATTTTTTTTGCCATCTAGAAATGAGAAAAACAGGCTAGAATAATTAGCAAATTAATAAGACTGGATGATCAGTTGTTAGAAAAATTTTATAATGACGAAATTCAACCGATCCTTACTGATAATCAATACTATAGTTTGGAAGTATCAGAAACTGATGACAAAAGTTCCAAATGAAAGATCATTATTAGAGATATTAAGTGGCGATCTTTAATGGTAAGTAATAAATGTTATTATATGATTGGTTCCAATCGGCATGTATTAATTAATATTTTTAATAGTTGCGTACCTTTTTACAAGATTACGTAAATACTGAATTCAGCTAAGCTTTAAAGGTATGCAGAATGAGAAAATGGGTGTATAATTATGTTGAATTTGCATCAAACGAAGAAAAAGCATCTGTGAATGCCTCTGTTTGGACAAGAATAAGGTATAACAGATCATTAAAATCATACGTTGGAAGATATAGTAATGTTCACTACTCTCTGGTCCATGAAGATACGAATAATATCGAAGAGAAGGATGATAGTCATAATGGAAACTATGCTGACAGTTTCGAGGAGGATAATAGAGAAAGAAGAAGTAGAAGTTTAGTATCAACAGAATATAATAGTAATTATGAGAAGGACGATGATTAATCAATGCAATATTTAAATTTTAAATTATTTTTTTTTTCAGCTTTTTTCAGTTTTTTTTCTGTTATAAATAAATGCTAAATAAGTAAATAATAAGTAAATTTATTAAATAAATTTTTTTGTAATTGAAAAATTTTATTTGATTTTGTAATTAATTGGAAGATCAAAAGATATTAATTGGGGTATTAACAATTAAATAAATTTATAGCAATAGGTATATCCTATTGATATCAAATTAGTGATTAATAGGAGCTCGATTTGTATGCCTTGATTTGAATCTGATTGTACTCCTTTGCTGCCATTTTACGACAGCAATCGGGTTTCTAAATAAAAAAAAATCAGATACTAATTGGTTATCATCTGAGTTATTGGATGATAACCAATTAGTACCTGATTTGTCATCATTCGACTTGTATTAGGAATGATAAAATCGTCATACCTAAAGTACAATAAATGCATTATTACTTAGAAATGATAATATTATCATTCCTTAGGTATGATAAAACTATTGTACTTAAAGAATGATAAATGTATTATATCTAAAGTATGATAATACCATCATCCCTAAGGTATAATAAAACTATCATTCCTTAGAAATGATAAAACTATCATATTTAAGAAATAATAAATACATCATTCTTAAGGAATGATAAATATATTGTCTTTAAGAAACGATAAAACTATTGTATCTTAGAAATAATAAAATAATTATCTCTAAAGAATGATAAAATTGTTATACCTAAGAAACGATAAAACTATCTTCCTTAAGGTATAATAAATGCATCATTTCTTAAGAATAATAATACCATCATTTTTATAGTATGTAAAACTATTATTTCTTAGGAATGATAAAACTATTATACTTAAAAAATGATAAATGCATTGTCTCTAAGGAATAATAAAACTATTGTACTTTAAGAATGATAAATGCATTATACTTAAGGTATAATAAATACATCATTCCTAAGAAATGATAAAATCATCATCCCTAAGGAATGATAAATGCATCATTTCTTAGGAATGATAAAATCGTTATACTTAAAGTATGATAAATATATCATTTCTTAGAAATAATAATACCATCGTTTCTTAGATACAATAAAATTATCATTTTTAAAGAACGATAAAATCATCATTCCTAAGAAATAATAAATGCATTATCCCTAAAGAATAATAAAATCATCATACCTTAGGAATAATAAAATCATCATACCTAAGGTACAATAAATATATCATTCCTTAAGAATGATAATACTATTATCCCTAAAAAATGATAAAACTATTATACTTAAGGAATGATAATACCATCATTTCTTAGAAATAATAAATCGTTATACCTAAGGTACAATAAATGTGTTATTCTTTAGGAACGATAATACTATTATCCTTAAGGAACTATAAAAGTATTGTCTCTAAGGAATGATAAAATTATTATTCTTTAGAAATGATAAAACTATCATATTTAATACATCATTACTTAGAAATGATAAAATTGTCATATCTAGATATGATAAATGTATCATTCCTTAGGAACGATAATATTTATTATACTTAAGAAATAATACAATTGTTCCAATTAGACGTCAATCAGCTATAAATAAGATAGGTCAAATTTGATATATACTAATCAACTATAAGTATACCAATTGGCTATAAATAAGATAGGTTGAATTTTGGCTGATTTTTAGCTAATTTTTAATATATGTCAATCAGCTAGACTGATTTTTGATAATTTGCTAAATTTAGGCTGAATTTAGGCTGATTTTCACATGTCTGATTTTTTTGATTTTGATCAGTATATGTTATATTATTGAGAATGATCTTTGACATTACTATGAATTTTTACCTATAATTCTTTAAGTAATTGTCATAATTTTATTTATCCTTTAAATGATTTTAATTAAAGCTATATACCATCATAAAGTTTAAATCAAAAGGATTGCAATAATTGAAATTACTCTCTGAAGTTTATGACCTTAAGATATTCTCTAAGTCTTATAAGTATTCATTATACTTGAATCAATTTAATAATTTATTATAATTTATCTTAAAATTTAAGATTTATTTAATTAAACTCAAATAATGAATTGAATTCAAAAGTAAGTTATTGTAGGATATCATAACAAATCCTAAATGAAGAATAATGTTGAAGAAATAAGTAATTTATGTAAATTTAAATTGATTCTTTATTAATAACTTATAACTTATAATAAGAATTAATTTACTATATAATTTAAACAAAAGCTATTTTATTTATATAAAATTAATTTGTTATGATTAACTATTTTTTTACTTTATAAATTAACTATATTTATAGACTTCAATTATAATATAATAATAAAATAATAAAAATAATAAAAATAACAAAGACATTTTAAAGATAAGGAGTTATCTATTATTATGAGTATAATAAAATTTTGCAATATTAGAAGAATCAGATAAATTCAACCAATTAGGTAAATTATGTAATTCCTTAATATTTTTCTGATATTCCTGATGCAGTATTCTATTGATCATTGCTATGTATTATTACCTGATAATTCTCACATGATATTTTCTGATATCTATTTCTAATACTAACAATATAAATACCTTTTATATTGAATAGTTGAATGAGTTTCTTTTATTAGAGTTAAAGCTATAGTAGGGTTTGGATTAGAGAACATGTAATTGTTCTTTGACTAAGAATAACTAATAAAAATTCTATGGGGTAGAATGCCACCTCAAACCATTGATATGCTTTGCAGCAAGGAATTCGTACCCAAGTCACGTGGCAAATTCGCAAACACCTTTAAGCTGGTGATTCCATCGAAATGCCAAATCTTGGCCAGGTGCCAAAGCACTATGGACAAGGCTACCAAGGAAAAAGATTTTTTGTTTCAAGACAGATGATTGAAATATGGGAAACATACTTAAATATCAACCAAATTCAATGAAACGTGTTTTATCAGGTCCAATGGGAGTGAAAAAATCGTATATCGCAATGTTCCTTGCGGCAAAGGCATTTGTTGAAAATTGGTTAATGCTTTACGTCGCAGATGCGGCTAAGCTTGACTTATTTTCGGACGAGGAGTCATCAAATTTGATTGTTAAGTACTTTTTGGCAATAAATAAAGACATTTTAACTGCCGTTGAACTCATTTAGGATGATTTTGCAACGCCTTTCGTCGAAACAATCTGGAACATGCTCAAACAAAAATATTGCAAAACACTTCTTGTAGTTGACGAACATGGCATCCTATTTAGCAATGAATATATTCCCGTACCTGCTCGGCTTCATATCTTGAAACCCTTGATGAATCTTACATATTTGAGTGAGCATAGTTTAGGAGTTCGCGTGGTCTTGACTGGTATAGCGCACACGAAGTTTGCGAAGAAATATCTGATAAATGGTATGCATATTGAATTGAATTTGTTGGTCCGTTACTAGAAGATATTTTTGATGGTCTGTTGAAACTTCACCCATCCTGGGAGATGAAAGAATTGCGTCAAAGGTGAAGGAAGCTACTAATTGCATTCCGCGCGAGCTCTTATATCTAGATAAACGTATAAGGAGCTTAATCAGCGTCAACTATATTCCCGATGGCAAAGATTGATGAATTTCTAGAACGCTTCCGTGGAGATCGACATAGTGAACTTCATTGACAAGAAATCATTTCGACACACTTGAGACCGGCTACAAAATAATTTACCGCAAAACCTTTCGACTATGTTTCTAAAATCAACGTACATTGAACGTATTGTAAGCTTCGACGGGAAGTTCTTGGACACTGGGCTGGTGTATCGGTTCAAAGGTGAATATAATTTCGTGTTGTATAAACCGCTATGCCCAGCTGCATTGGATGCTCTCTTAGATGTGTACCGCTCTTTCATTACCCAGAGATATAATGTGACGTCTCTTAAAAATTGACAACTTAGTGGCGAAAATTTTCGAGGAAATACTGTTCCAGCAGATGTTAAACCATCGTAATATACCATTCAAGGCGACAGACCTGGCCAGAAATCCTATGACAGATGTACATATCCAATTCAAGCACTTCTTTGTAGCGTTTATTTCCTACGAAGAGATCAAGGCTAAACTCTTTGGTGATTTCTTGAATTAAAAGACGAATTCGACTATTTAAAACTATTTCCTATCTGCATTCAATAATTTTAGAGTGAAGTCATGTATTTATGTACGAATACACAATTATCTGAAGTTTTTCGGATAATTTATTGCACCATACGTTCGAATAATTAGCAATTTTGCATGTTAAAGCGTTTATCATTTTTCATCCAAATTGTGGTTATATTTTTAACTCTTGAATACTTTCATATATGAAGTACTCGCTGTTACCAATAGACATGAAAAAAATATAAATTACGTGTCTCTTTTTTGATCAAAAGGTCCCAAAAACTAGGATTTCTTGAGTGGAATTTGGTCGTACCCCTAACTAAGAAAGTTTAAGACATAAGGTTTGATAATGTACTGCGTCGCACATGTTACCAAAGATAACGCATTCTTTGATATTATTTATACGTGTATTAATAAGCAATCAAACAATAAAGTTTCGCTAGTATTTTTAACTGTTTATAATTGATTAAGTATAATATAACTTGATGAAATGTACTTTAAAACTTAAGATATTACGAAAGGAGTGGAGGTGATGGTATTGTCATACTGAATTGTTAGGATTTAGCATATGCATTACCTCAACCTGTGACTCGGAAAAAAGTATTTAATAAAGTAAATTCTTTTGTGATTTCCTTTCTTTCTACGGCAAAGCCTTATTTATTAAACATTTTAATATAATCATCTAAATATTTGCCTTCTCACTTCTTTTGTAAAATTATGTACTTCTTTAAAAAATAAATTATTAAAATTAAAATTATTAAATTACGACTATTAATAGGTCGCACAGTTAAATCATTGTATTGATCAAAATTTCCCGATTTGTTGATTGATTAATCTTAAATAACCCAATCGACAAATTTGATGAAAAAAAAATCTTTTTCTAATGGCATCATTTAAAAACATTCCACCAAACTTTACTATTTCACCAGATGGAAGTCATTTAATCTTATCAATTCCCATTGAAAAATCCTATGTTGATGATAGATCATATAGACTTATTAGATTAAGTAATGAATTAGAAATATTGCTTATTCATGATGCTGAAACTGATAAATCAAGTGCTGCTTTAGATATTCATGTTGGTCATTTATGCGACCCGGTAAGGTGTAAAAAAACAAAATTTTTTTTTTTTTTGTTTTAAAAAATTGTAATTAATAAATTGTTTTTTTTTTGTTATAGGATAATTTACAAGGACTTGCTCACTTTTGTGAACATTTATTATTCATGGGAACGGAAAAGT